GCACAAGTCCTGTGGAACCTGAACTATGCATACATTACTATGAAAACATATAAAATAAAATAAAAACACACAAATAAAAACTTTATATAAAAACAACAGTACAATATTCCTATAATAAATCTAAAAATTTGAATAAGACTTTATAAAAATAGAAATTTGCTTTCTAAAAATTTCTTTAAAAATTTTGTAATGTTCCCCAGCAACGACGCCAAAAACTTGATCCCGAAGTTCTTGATATATGTTAATGCAATGTATGTGATTATATGCTTATAATTCTTACTTTGCAACAAAGCCAAAAACTTAATTCTAAGCAAAAGTTGGGTAAATTCTTAACTTCGAAGCAAATGTGATTACAATTATAATATTTAAAAATTGGATACTACGCAAGTATACATATCGTTATCAAGTAATATATGAATTTTTTATTAAGCCATAAATATCGAACTCACAGAGAAAACTACAATATGCACTTTATAAAAGAGGAGAAATTAGATATCAAAATATTCTTACCTAAACTCTAGATACTAAAATAAGAATGAAAGTTTGAGTCTTTTTGTATTTTTTAATTATTGAAAATAAAGTAAACAACTAATTAACTTAACTAAATACTTGCAAGATGAAAACAATATAAATAAAATATATTTTTCCATATCATGACTCAGTAAAAAGTATAGGAATTTTGTTGAGGAAGTATTTTAAATGTGTTGTGCCAAATAGGAGCAATAATATTCCTTACCCTTACTAGAGATGCTATAAAGAACATTGACTAATTTAGGTAGGGAAGATATTAGCTCTCACTCTAAAGTTCTCTCGTCTCCCTCCACTTGGGGGCTAACATCTCGTATCAAAACCTAAAACTATAAATCAAATTGCGGGTTTTAGACTGTCACTCTAAAGTTCTCTAATTATACACCATTCAAAGTTTATTTCACTATTTATTTGTAATCAAACACATGAACTACATTCTCATCTATGAAATCAAATGTGATTCTTACCATTTAATAACTGAGACAATACCAACTCAGATCTTACATGTTCTCACAACATGTATTAACATCTTAATTAGCCAAATCAAGAAGTAAATGAAGTATAAGGTTTAAAATCATCACAATTTCTTCCAACATTAAAATCTAATAATTTGACAACTTCTCTCCAATACTTAATCACTTATCATTTTTAAGAAAAAGTTAAAAGAAAACTACTCAGAATTCATGGAGAAAACACAATCACACTTGAGTTTGAAAGTAGAAATCATGCACTCAAACAAGTAGTCTAAATTAAAACCAAATTTAATCACAAAGATAAACACCATCTCAAATACTCTCCACCAAATGTGTTAAAGTTCCTTTGAATACCTTCCTTCACTCATAATACAGACTAAAACTCAAAATAAAAAGAAAAAGTGGTCAGTACCAGCGCCGGCGCTAGTTACTCTGGCTGGATGGATGATGATTGACCTCTTCCCTGGATGATCCAAGTCTTCTTTAATAATAATCCAAGAGGTGCCTTGGTGTCTCTTCAAAATGTGTCTTCATTTAATGAATCTTCTAGAAGTTGCCTCCTTTCAAAAGCCAATTGAATGAATTTTCGTGTCCATTAACTATTTCCCACGTTTTCACCAAGGGTTGCTTTAAACACATCTTCAAAAATTCATCCAAATTCAATGAATCAACAAATAAACACTTTTGGTTAAGCACAGGGTATGATGCTTAGGTGCGACTCTCTCTGTTTAATTTCCGCGTAAGCGCCAGTCCTTGGGGCTTAGGCGCCTCAGTTCATCTCTTACACCTTTTTCATTTTTGCTCCAAATTTGATCCTTTTTCACTCCTTTTACCATTTTCCTGCATTTGATTGTGCCTTAAAGAAAAATAGATAAATATCTTTCATTAAAACACAATATCTCAAAAATAGGTATAAAATTGTGTATATAAAAACTATATATTTAAGTGTATCAGTGATCAGCTATGGCTTATGCATTGATTGGTGTTGAAGGAGTGCATTTTATAATTTTTAATATCTATTAGAGAATTCCTTCGCATCTTTTAGGAGTGTTAGCTAGAAGTACTCGTATCGCTGAACTCGGCGTGCCAGGTTTATTTCTCCAGAGTGTCTCCTGCACTCTCAAAAGTGTATTTTTTGGAGGATTTTTCTGCCTCATTTTCCCCTATACACTTTAAATATTGGTAAGCCACTAAATTTCAAAAATGTTTGTTGTTGATCAGAATGTATTGAGTTGCTTTGCATTTGAATCTTCTTGGGTCAATAACCCCTTCATAGATCTTCCTAGTCTCCAGATAATAGATGTAGAGATCCATTCAATTCTTCACTCATTCGACCTCAAACTCCATGTTTTTGGGTTCTTCAATAGTCAACCAAAAAAGTTTTTGAAACATACAGGTGGTCGGCTATTTTGTTGTTTTTTAGAGCAATGTGCTTGATTTTGAAGTTTATAAACCTCCAAATTTTCTCTCTAGCTTTGCTCAAGAATTTAACCATCATCTAGTCTTTAGCTTTGAACCCTCCCCCCTTCCCTTATTCACCTACATCATGATTACACGTGACCTGACTTCGCCGTGAGGTATCGGGTGCCCATCTCATAGGCAAACCACATTCTAAAATTAGCCTTATATTCTATTTGTTTTTTTGTAACTTCAAACTGTACTATGACTGGGTTGTAAATGTGTTCTCCAGTTGTATTGCTCAGAGCAAGACTGAATCGTGTATTTATCTGGCTAGGAGCTCCTTTGATGTGTGAGATCCACATCTAGCTCTTAGTAGTTATTCTTTCATTTTAATCACATGGCTTAAAAAATTCTACTAAGAAATGCACTATCACTTGTCCCTTTATCTTTGTTTGGGGCATGTAGAAAATATCAAACTCATTGACCTATACCACCCACTTAAGGAGTCGACTAAAATGCTCCGACCGAGTAAGAATGAATTTAAGTGGATAGTTTCTGATGACCTGAATTGGATGAGTTTAAAAATTCAATTGAAGTTTATGAGTAGAAACAACAAGAGAACAAGTTAGTTTTTCCTTGATTGAATATCTGATTTCGGCTTCTTTGAAGAACAAGTTGGTGTAGTAGACTGGGAACTTCTTTCCTAGCTCCTCTTAGACTAAAACCGAATTGATGGTCTCATATCTAACTCCCAAGTATAGAGAGAGTTCTTTGTTTAGCTTTAAACTTTGGAGAAGTGGTGTTAATGCTGAAGAATCATTTAGCTTCCTGAATGCTTTCTCATACTCATCTGACCACTCAAAGTTATTTTCTTTCTTTAGCATTTCAAACAACACTGCACACTTGTCAAGAAAATTGGAGATGAACCGTCTTAGACCTGCGATCTGGCCAGTTAGATTATATACATCTTTTGTACTCTAAAGGAAGGCATGTTTAATAATACCTATAATTTCTCTGGATTAGTCATTATTGGCACACCTATCTATCGAGCCGATGCCTCCACAACACGCCTACCCTTTTGGGTCACTGCCTCCATGACACGCCCACCATTTTGGGTTAGTGCCTCTAAGGCACACCCATCTATCTGGTCATGGCCTCCATGGAACACTCATCTGTCGGGCCACCGCCTCCATGACACGTCTACACTTTCGGGTCACTGCCTCACACCCATCTATCGAGTCGCTGCTTTCATGACACACCCACTCTTGTGGGTCACTGCCTTCATAGCACACTCATCCCTTTGGTCACTACCTCTACGACACACCCATTTGTAAGGTCGCTGCCTTAATGACATGCCCATCTTTTTTTGTCACCGCCTTCACGGCACACCCATACGTCCAACCGCTACCCGAACACTCATCCCTTTGGTCATTACCTCTACGACACACCCATTTGTAAGGCCGCTGCCTTCATGACATGCCCACCTTTTTTGGTCATCGCCTTCACGACACACCCATCGGTCCGACAGCTGCCTCCATTACATGCCCAAATTTTTGGATCACTGCATCCACGACATACCCATCCATTTGGCACTTCCTCCACGGGATACCCACATTAATGAGTCACTATCTCGACATCTCATGAGTTGTTTCAAGAGTCCTAAAATATATCTCATATTGCATCATATGCATATTTACTTTTTTTTTTTATTATTATATGTCATTTATGTCAATTAAAAGACCTTAGATTATGAAAATGCATTCATTTCTTGCCAATGATGACCAATAATAAATGTTTGATGCTTGAAAACGCTTTGAAACTCCGTCTTAGAATTCTTTTCTCTAAAATTCTTATGTGGTCCTTCAGTCTTTTTGATTTATTGAAGCAAAGCTTATCTATGGATTTCTCGAGGGGACATGTTGCTCACTTTGACCAAAAATCAAGACACTTCATCAGCTTTAGTCAAACCCACTAATCATATAATTTTTTTTTTTTTGTATCCAAGTCTCTTAGTAATATCAACATTAAGTGATATTAGGCCCAATAAAGTTATTTTGTCGATATCCTCGCTTTGATTACAACTACAAAATAGTCAAAGGTGAGTTACCCAAAAAGATCTTGCAAAGTTATTGATTATGTTAGGGAGTTTTCACTTAGTTTCAATTGGAATTGGTTCAAGGCATTCATGATCTCATTGGCTATCTCAAGGTGTTCATTTCAACCATAAACTTATTGAAATAAGAATTTATATAATAATGAAATTGATTTTAGATTTTCCTCAGTTTAATATTTGAATGCTTTGAGATCTAAGAGATTGTATCATGAATTCTTTTTATTCCAATGAATTGTTTTGTTGACATATCACTAAACACATAAATAATAACATTTTCTACCCAAAAATAGTTTTCAGTTGATTTTATAAAAAGAAATTAAGATTTTATAGTACAATATTTTCAAGTAACATAAATTATGAAATTTTAATCGATAAAGTACGATGGTAAAATTAAGTTTTGGTAACCTGCGTAAATATAGGGAGGGAGAAGTCTACATGTTATTACAATTTTTTATTCTTGCTTTGTTCATTCAGTCAACGTGCTGATTTTTTTATTTTTCTTGAGGTAGTTGGCGAACAAATTTTTTCAAATTTGGCCCGGTCGGACCTGCAAATGTTGCGCCCTCTCTCCCACGCCTCCCGTAACACTAGCAATCAACTATGTGGAGATCGACATCGGTGTCTAGGCTTCTCCAGCGAAGGCTCACAGGCGCTCCAGCCCGGTTCCTGCGTGCCGACCACCAGTTCAATCCCCTCTTGGCCCAATCGCGGGCCAACCTGTGCTCGTCTGTCTCCTCGCACTCCGGCGAGGAGCCGACGGAATCTATAACCCAAGCTGACGCGAAGAGATTGATGCGGCTTGTCAACGTGGAGGCTCTGAAGAGAAGGCTTGGGATGGAGGGGGCGGAGGTTATTGGTTACTCGAAGCTGCTCGAGGCATGCGAGGAAGTGGGTGTCGCGAGGAGCAAAGAGGAGGCAGAAGCGTTCGCTAGGGTCTTAGATGAGGCTGGGGTCGTGCTGCTGTTCAGAGATCAGGTTTACCTTCATCCTGATAAGGTGATTGCCGATGAACCTGTTTTATTTTCGGGTCCCTGATTTAGATTAGATTCCGTTTCTTATGTTTTGCCTTCGTTGGAAGTAAAAGGTTGTTATGAGTTTAATTGTGCGTAACTGTTGGGTAAATTAAACTTCGAAGGTGTTTTTGAAATCCATATATTGTTAATTTTTTATGATGTATGCAGTTTAATGATTGACATAGAAATTAGGGGATTTAATCTGTTTGTTCTTGTGGGAGCAGTTGGAGCTTGAGGAGGATGTGCTAGGGCTTCTTTCTTTTTGAGCTAATCCATATTCAGTGCTCTGGAAAATATATCTTAAAGAGTAAGTTGAGACTTTTTTGCTTCTTTGAGTGGAAAAAGCTCTTCTGCACTCGCGTGGGCCATATCCGGACCTACGTGACAACCATAGTTGCGGGTGAGCACTGCCTTTTGAATAGAATAAGCATAATGGTGCAATGCCTCTTTGTCTAGCATATTTTGCTTATTTTCCTATGAAGCGTTGAAAACTGAGGAAAGGTGGAGCTCGTCATTGCTTCTTTTAGTTGGAACCTGCCTTTTTAAAGTAAACAGTGTGCGTTTTTGAGTTCTGATTGGTACTAAATTTTCAGGTGGATTTACATGCATACCACACATTTCTTATATATTTATATATCTAACACCTAAGTAGCCTTCATTGAAGTTGGATAAGGCCAGGAATATGAGAGTACCTTTAGTGATGGGAATAATGATGCTATACTATCCAAAAATTCTATATATTAAATGGATCTTCATCAGCTATCATGGATTCGGTCAAATTCAATTTAGAGTTAATGTGTAAAAAGATGTCTTAAACTAATGGTCTTCAAGGATTCCCCATATTTGGATCAAGAATCTTATATCTTAGGAAAACAACTTACACTCACGTTATATCGCAGTAAAAAAGGATTCTATATGATAAACCATTATGTTTGAGTTAACATTTTCATGCTCAGGTAAGCTAACTCATATTTTAGCAATAAACTTTATGTCTTGTAGATTATATGTAAGGCAAAAACTTTGTAATGGGTATGCCAAATGGATTTTTATTGTGAAGGCACTAGCTTACTTAAGGGGATCTTGGAGAGTAGGTGATGAAAATGGTGAGGCTTTGGAAAAGGGCTTGTTTAGTTGTGAGGTTTAGAAGGCTTTCAGAAGATGGGGTTGAGTGATGGAATGGTTGGTGTGGATAAAGAAGATCTTGGAGGTTGAACATAAGAAGGTCTTTTTATATGGTCTTTGGAGTGGATTTGGGCTAGGTGTGAGAGAGAAGTTGTGGGATGTTGGTGGACTCTAAGCGTGATGTAAGGAGATATGCTAGGTTTTTGTAAAAGTTTGTGGGCTGGCTTTGATGGATTGGTTAAGTGCTGAGAGGGAAAGATTGAGGGACTTGATACAAAATAAATGCAAGCCTTGAAGTTACCAAAGAGTAATTGTTCGATTGGCTGTGAAGCTTTCCCAAGTTTAGCAACAACCTCCAAGTATTTTCACACAAGTTTGCGCTAACAAAATTCCTTAATTCTTCAATACTGAAAATAAGGTTACATAGGAATGCTATTTTTAGAGTTCATTTAATCCATGACCGTCCAAATTTTGTTTTGGAAATAGTTTGGAGACACTCACAATAAGTCTGATAAACTAATAAAAATGTCCAAGCAATAAAGGAAACAAAATGACTAGAACCATCAATCAACTTAGTTATATATGGAATGCGATATATTCCACGTGCATTTAATTTTCACTCAATTCTTTCTTTCTTGCTTTGGAGTGTCAACCAAGACTTTCATAGGACTTGAAGCTTTCCTAAAACACATTAACTTGATTTGGAGGGAAGGAAGACCGACTAAGCAAGTGTGATCAATTGAGTGATCTAAATTTTAAACACATTCAAGATTGGATTTTTTTTTTCTTTTTCTTTTTTTGACTAAACTTTCCTTGTCTCATGTTTTGAAAACTTTGTTTGACGATAATAAATGATAATCCTCTAGCTTGATTCATATGGTATGTTGTATATTGACTCTATCAAGATCACCCACCTATCATTATTCTCGGTCAACATCGGGTCAAATAGAACAAGTCAACCAACCATAATTTTCTTCTAATGCAGGCTGCTCAGCCATGGTTGAGACCCTTGAGACTTTTTAGCTAATTCATGATTGATAGTCTCCATAACCACCCACCATAGTTAGGCCTTGCCTCTATTCATTCCTTTATGAACTCCATTACCAATTTCATGATGCACAATAACTATGAGACATGTAGGCCAAATTGCTACAATCGTTGGGTAAGTAGTGAATGATCTTAACAGGAGGTGAGTGGTCATTTGTTTACTAAAAAACAAAGGAAAAAAACAACATTGTAGTAAACCATGGATGTCGGCAAAGACTGTTGAACCACTTCCATTCGACTTCATCTTGAGCAATTTTTGTTGCTACCTCTCCATAATCGGCAACCTTGCCACATCCCGCTTCCTTGATGAGGCCGTTTCCTCCACTTTCTCTACCATGTCATCTATTGTTGTCATCACAAGGGTCCCCCTTTTCATTCTTAAAGTTAGATCACATTATGTACCACTACTTTCGGCTATATCTTAACTTTTTCAAGAAGATCAAAGGAATGACAAAAAAATGTCAAATGCTTGCAAGGTGTTTTTTTCACTCCAAGGATGACATATAAGCCTTATCATGTTAAAATGGAAAATGTGATGCCTTTTTTCTCTCAAGTAGGCTCATCCACCTACGATCATCAACCTTCTTCATTTAGCTTGATGCGACAGGCCGACCAACTATAATTGTATGAGTCCCTTGAATTAGGCAAGCATCACCAAGATGTTTTAAGATAGAGGTCTCCATAATTGTCCACAATGACAAACTCTGGCTCTATCTTTCCATGAGCCTCCACTTCCATTTTCATGACGCATTGTAACTATAGAACACTTCAGCTTTGAAGATGCAGCTTCTATGCTTGTAGAGAAGGATCTTGTAACATAGGAGTGAATGATCTTTGTGAAAGGGGGTAGATAAAATGTAATGAAAAAACATTATTGTTCTTAACAGTGGATGTTTTTTCATTCTTTTTAATTTTGCCTATTTGTCTGCCCTTCTTTGATGACAAAAGAAAATTGGCCTAAGGCTTCTATATTCAGCATTGAACTGGTGGTGATTCACACATAATCCCAACTTATTACCTTATTGTGAAATTTACTCTTTCACAATATTGTGCCTTTGTTTGAGATCTGGTCATAGGCCTATGAACATGTGTTGTACTGCGTCACCTTATATATCATAGGTCTTATATTTGGATGATAATATTGTGCAGAAGTAAATCAGTTTTATATTATTTCTGTAAATAATTTCATTTGTCTAGTTTAAAGCCTTTTGCCCCCTTAGAGGAACGGTTAGGAGGGCCCACGCTTTGTATGGCAATTTTAGATCACTTACAGAAGAAATGAAATGTTTGGAAATGAATAACCTTTTTTATTATATGTGAAATATAAAGGTGAATTCTGAGAAATATTAAGCAGGGTGCAACTCATTAATGACAATAGCAATAGTGCTTTATTTTCATTGAAAAAATACAGTTTTTTCAATTTGTTTTTGGAGCAATTTAATTTATCCCTTAGTTGAACTTGATTTCCAATTTGTGTGGTACAATCTATTCGATCTTTGCAATTATTATTCTTTTCACTGGTTTTATTACTCAATCAACTAACAGTTTTTTAATGCAAACTATATATAGTTATTATATTATTCATAAATCAAGATAATAGATAAAGGAAAAATAAAAAATTCTGAGAAATATTAAGCACAATAAAAAATATTCAGCAATCAAAATTAAAAATAAAATTATATAAATACAATAATCAATAATTTTCTAGATTTTTGTATATAAAAAATAAACGTAAGTTATCTGGTATAACATAAATAATCAAAATATAAAATTTTATTATATATTTCTATAATTTTTAATAAATTTAAATTTTAATTTAAGGACATGTGCGACTAAAGTTTATTTTATTTTTTTATAAATTGAACATTCGAAAGGCGTGCCCAACACTTGTCAAATGCATGTCACACGCATGTCCGTGCCCGATGTGTATCGGACACTGCAGGTCTATTTATAGTGAGGTGTTAGTGCATAATAGGAGAATACCATTAAATTGCCACTAGAGCATAGGATTCTCTAGAGATATTAGATTGGTGGAACTTAATTTCTATAATGTTCCATAAATGAGCAAAAATGACCAAGGATGCCTCATTATTCTAGCAAGTGTGATTTCAAATCATCCTTCATTGGGCATGTGCTTTATGACTATCAAATTTAATTATTATCCAAGTAATGAAGAATAAAAAGTAAAGTAGATCCAGAACATTGAATTTTTTATAGTGTACAACTCAACATTTGTGCAAGTCGAAGTACCCACATGTGCATTAATTGTTTTTAAGTCCGGACCACTTATGTAATCATCCAATTGACACCCTCTCACACTAATAAATACTTATGATACCACTGTTGTTATTGGAACAATGAGACATCTGTTGTTAATTTTGCTAGTGTGAAGAACTTCATTGAATTTAATTTCAAACTATCCAGTGTCTTGAAAGAATCCTTAACAACCTGCTTTATATGTCACCAAGAAATTTATATGATCAAACACAAATCTCGATGCATTTTGAGTAATATTTTTTTATATTTAAATTTATTAACAAAGTAATGGATATACTGAGTATCTCGACAATTTAAGTCCAATTATATTGAAAGTGATTCAATTTGAATTCACTCAAGGCCAGATCGAATATTTCAAGTGCAATTGAAAATTTGGAATATTATTTGGAGGACCAACCGAATTCCAAATTTGACATACTTACAATAAAATCGAGTGTCTCGATGAGAACAATTCAATGAGCCCAATGTCATCTAATTTTGAGGTCGTTAAACACTAATATTAAAAAAATTATATATGATCAATGTGGACCGTCCAAT